AAAAAGCCGTGCCTGTGGCTCAAGGTGTAGGGTGCTGACCCCATAAATTGGAGGTGGCAGGTTCAAACCTGGGCCAGGCCAAAAACTGCAACAAAAAAAAAAAAAAAAAAAAGAAGAAGAAAATAAAAAGGCCAGGCATGATGGCTCATGCAAATAATCCTAGCACTCTGGGTGGCCGAGGCTAGTGGATTGCTTGAGCTCAGGAGGTCAAGACCAGCCTGAGCAGGAGTTAGACCCTGTCTCTACTAAAAATAGAAAAATTAGCTGGGCATTGTGATGGGCATCTGTAGTCCCAGCTACTTAGGAGGCTGAGGCAAAAGGATCAGTTGTGCCCAAGAGTTAGAGATTGCTGTGAGTTATAAGGACACCAGGGCACTCTACCCAGGGCAACAGAGTGAGACTCTGTGTCAAAATAAATAAATAAATATAAATATAAATGAATAAAAGAAAAAAATTGAGAATTGGTCTGGTAAGGGCCTCAGGCATCCCTTATGGTAGAAGGTGAAGGGAAGCCAGCATGTGGAGAGATCACATGGTGAGAGAAGAAGCAAGGGGCAGTGGGGAGATGCCAGGCTCTTTTTGATGATCACCTTTCTTGGAAACTAATAGAATGAGAACTCACTTCTGAGGGAGAGCATTAATCTATGCATGAGAGATCACCACTCTGACCCAAATACTTCCCATTAGTACCACCACTCCAACATTGTGGATCAAATTTCAATATGAGGTTTGGAGAGGACCAACATCCAACCATAGCAATGACCAAGCAAAAAAAAAGGAGAAGACAACAGAGCCTTTCACTTTTCAGGAGCTTAAAATCTGAAATCTGGCCACCATCTTTATTCATCTGTCCAACAAATATCTACTGCACAAAAAACCCAAAACTGATTTCCTTGCACTGCGAGAGGCATGAACAGAAGTACTTTAAATGTACTGTTCTTAGAAATGTGCTCCAAACCAGTTCAAAGAATTCTAAGTAAGGCGGCTACCCCACCCATTACTATTTCAAAGTGTGTTCTCTCACCAGCTCAGTGTGGTGAAATATCAATACCTGATGGGGTTTCATCTGAATTAAGTTTATAAAATGGGCCATGGTATTAAAGAGCTACTTATATCCTTCTTCTACACGTTCCATTAGCATATTTTGAAAAATAAGACTGATTTCCCAACTAAGTGTATAATGTGTATTAAAAGGGAACATTTTTAAAGATCAAAAGGTATTTGAATTGGCATAAGAATTTTAAATGTAGATCTTAAATCTTTGATCTTTGAGAACTGATTATATTTTCATGTTAATATTTTTAAAAGGAAGTCTCAGATTTCAAAAACTACAAATATATCATTATAACAATAACTCATCAAATTTAAATATTCTTTTATAGCTTTCAAAGTTGTTCTCATGAACATAATTTCACCAAAGCCTAATTCTAGTTCTATGCAGCATTTATTGTGTTATCCTCATTTTAGGGTATTTTTCATGTAGCATTCTCTAAATATGAATTCATAATATTACTCAAATAAAATGATGAAGCTATGGCTTCTACAATAATAATATACACCATTTATTAACTGCCTCAGTTTTAGCATATGTAAAATGGGGTAAATTATTATACCCCCTCAGAGGTTTCTAAGGTTAAGAAATTGAATATGGGCTCAGCACCTGTAGCTCAGTAGCTAGGACGCCAGCCACAAACACTGGAGCTGGCAGGTTCGCATCCAGCCTTGGCATGCCAAACAACAATGACAACTACAACCCAAAAATAGCTGGGCGCTGTGGAGGGCACCTATAGCCCCAGCTACTTGGGAGGCTGAGGCAAGAGAATCTCTTAAGCCCAAGAGTTTGAGGTTGCTGTGAGCTGTGATGACACAGCACTCTACTGAGGGCAACACGAGACTCTGTCTCAAAAAAAAAATTGAGTATGCATTTTATTGTATTTATTTATTGTAGAGACGGAATCTCACTATGTTGCCCAGGTGGGTCTCAAATTCCTGGCCTCAAGTAATCTTCCTGCTTCGGACTCCCAAAATGTTGAGATCACAGACATGAGGTACCATGCTTGGCTATACATTCTAATAATATTCACATGGTGGCTTATTTTTCAGATAGAAAGCTGAAATAATGGATTGTCCAGTTCAAAACCAGACCTAAACCATCTTAAAAAGAGATAATCATTCATGTAGATCTTGGTCCTGGCTCAGGCTTAAAGTAGCCCCACCTCTCTAGCACATGTGGAAGAATGATTCATTCATTCCACAAATATGAATTAAGTAAGGTGACCAGATTTTAACATTAGTAAAGCAGGACACCATTGACTGGGGGTAGGGGGCAGCCTGACAACAATGCAAACTTTAATAAGCAGTTCTCCATAATCAGTTCTCAACAATTATTTGTTATTATTAAAGTTTAACATTATGAAATTAACAAAAATAATATAAAACTCATATCCTGGCGAAATAGCCACATGGCAGCCGAAAACCGTATATTCCCTTCCTGTTCTCCCGCCGTTCCCTAGCTTGTCGTGCATTCTTTCCAAAAATCAGGACTTTTTAAAAACATAGCGGGACATGGGACATGGGACACGGGATGCAGGACAAATTGTTAAAAATCGAGACTGTCCCGCCAGAAGCAGGAGGTCTGGTCACCTTAGCATTAAGCAGAGTTCTAGGTGCTGGGGAGACAATGGAAAGGACAGATCTCTGCCTTCATGGACTTTGTATTCTAGTTGAGGGAAACAAGAAACAGTAGATATTTAAATGATTCACATTTCAAAATCTTTAAACATTATTAATGTTTAAAGAAAGAACAACAGATAGTGATAACTGAAATGATGAGAGTAAGACAGGCCTCTTTAATAGAGGGATGGGGGGGGAGGTGAACGTTTGGCTTCTTTGGAATGGGAATCAGAGATGGCCTGTTTGAGAAGGCCACATTGGAGCTGAGACTCAAATGATAATGAAGAAGAGGCAACCATGAAATAATTGAAAACATTCAAAGCAGAGTGCACAGCAAATGCAAAGAACCTGAAGCAGGAATGGGCCTGGTTGTTAACAAACAGAGGCCAGACTGCCTGGGGAGCAGGGATTGGCACAGCAAGTGGCCTGAAAGGAGGTCAAAATACAGACAGGAGGAAATCTCAGAAGGCCTTGCGGATTTTATTCCTAGTGCAATGGCAACAGTAGAACAGCCACTGTAAGAAGTAGGGTATTTCCAAGGAGGGTGGGCAGATGCAATGTTTGAGACATTCCCAACAAGTGCATCAAATGAGAAAGATGGGCGGCCAACAGACCCCTAGAGCTCTGTGATACACAGACCTGGTTACTGTCCTATGACAGTCTGCACGCACTGCCTGAGAGCCAATAACAAGCTAAGCATTGTGAATGTATACAATCGAGTTATGTTGAATTTCTTTTAAGACAGAATAGGAAATAGGGAGACAGTGAACTTTTTAAAAGAGCAATAAATTGTAGTGGCTTTGAGAAAAGTTACAGCATGTTCCAAAAAAGAAATAAAGATTAATGTAAACCAGGGTTTCTCAACTCTGGTACTATTGACATTTTGGACAGGAGAATTTTCTATTGCAGGGTGCTGTCCTGTATGGATGTCCATTGGATGTTTAGCAGCATCCCTGCTCTCTACCCACAATGACAATGGCAACCCTAGTTGTGACCATCAAAAGTATCTGCGGACATTGCCAAATGTGCCTTGTGGGGCAAAATTGCTCCAGTCAAGATTCACTGATATAATTGACAACTTACCATATATGTTCTAAGACAGGTTGGGGAATTTTAATTTCCACTTCACAGGTAAAGAAATTGTAGTAAGTAGAGGGTAAAAAAAAATTGTTGTATGGCTAATACCATTATTTCATTCATCTTTGTGAGCTTGACACAATTCTGTGGTGGTTAATCATGAATCTTTGTTAAAGACATTCCATATGCTAAGCACTGTTTTAGGGACTGAGGATAGAAAAGTGATGAAGTGTATAAAAACTTCTGCTCTTGTAGACCTTATACTCTTGTGAGGGGAGAGAAGGTAAACAAATAAATAGGAATATCATTTAGAATGCCACAGAGTAATAAGTGCAATAGAAAAATCAAGTTAGGAAGGGAACTGGGAGTGCCAAGGTGGGACAGGGCAGAAATCTGAAATAGAAAAATCAAGAAAAATCTTATAGTGACAGTGATATTTTAGGAAACAGTTAAAGGGAATAGGGAGGAGGCTATGTAGAAAGCAGAAGGAATATCTAGTGTAAACTCCCCTAAGGCAGGAGTGGGGCTGGGTTGCTGACGAATAGCAAGGAAACCAGGGTGACTGGTTAATATGACCAATTATACTTAAATTAACCATTGATCTGACTAAAATAAAGCTCTCTGAATGATGGCACAGTCAAGATCTGAAATGGAAATTCCTTGGTGTAGTTTTTTAGGGGATAAGGAGTGTGGAAACATTGATCTTTGATATCTTATAAGCCTTTGAAAATGTAAAGGAACACTTTTATTATTAACATAATAATAACATTTATTACTGCAATTGGAGAGTAATTGCAAATGTTTTACCAACACTCATCTTCTGACATATATTTCGGGTCACAGGTTCTTTTACTCCATGTTTTCCTTTTAGGTTTCCACTAAAATAAAATAAAACTTTCTGATTAAAAAAGAGGAGATAATATTGGTAAAAAGCAAATTATTTTTGTTACAGTAAATTTTAATGTGACGAGATGGGAGTTGTATCATTACCTGATCAAAGAAATAGAAAGGCCCAGTGTCCAAAGGTGTAGCGTTAGTAAAGTCCTCCATTCTACCATGAGACCTAAGGAGGAGAAATGGAAAATATAGAGATAAGTTATCATGTCAGTAGCCGATATTTCAAGGCATTTTATGGTTTTTAACCTTTTGTTTTTAATGAAGTATAAAATAAAATTGGGGGTGGGTAGGGGAAACACAATTGTTCCTCTATCGCTCTTTTTTTTTTTTTTTTTTTTGAGACAAGGTCTTGTTCTGTCACCTGGGCTAGTGTATAGTGGTGTCATTACACTCACTGCAATCTCAAACTCCTGGGCTCAAGTAATCCTACTGCCTCAGCCTCCTGAGTAGCTGAACTACAGGCACGCACCTCCATTCCTGGCTAACTTTTTCTGTTTTTTGTAAACCAGGTTGGTCTCTGAACTCCCAGCCTCTAGCCATCCTCCTTCCTTAGGCTCCTAAAGCGCTAAGTTTACAGGCACAGACCTTGGTGTCTGACCCCCACCTTCAATTATATAGTTCTATAGAGTTGACATAAATGTAATCAGGATTTATTGCTATTGGGAAAAAAAAATAAGTAACATTTCAATGCAGACTTTCTTAATCTCAGCACTATTGACATTTTGGGACAGATAATTCTTTGTGTGAAGGAGCTGCCTTGTGCATTGTGGAGTACAGCAACCCTGGCCTCTACCTATCAAAAGCCAGTAGCACAACCTGTCACCCAGTTATGACAACAACAGTGTCTCTGACATTGCCAGTAATACTCTTGGGGATCAAAATTGCCCCTTGTTGAGAACATCTGCACAATGGTTTTAAAAAGAAAAGTTTATTAAAGGAGAGGAACGGTGCCTGAGAAGATGAGCGATACTGAAGATAGCAGCATCTTTAAAGCAGTCACACTCAGGCTGGGCAAGGTGGCTCACGCCTGTAATCTTAGCACTTTTGGGGACTGAGGCAGATGGACTGAGACCAAGACCCCATCTCCACTAAAAATAGAGAAACTAGCTGGGCATTGTGGCAGGTGCCTGTAGTCCCAGCTATTCAGAGGCTGAGGCAAAAGGATCACTTGAGCCCAAGAGTTTGAGGTTGCTGTGAGCTATGGCGCCACTGTTGTCTACCCAGGGCAGCAGAGTAAGACTCTGTCTCAAACAAAATAAAACAAAACAAAACAAATCCACACAGGATCCAAGATCATGACTGGAGAGGAATCCTGGGGCTGGCTAAACCAAAGCTAAATGGCCTTGTGGGTTTGTAATGACCACACAATGGAGGACTAAGCTGCAGCAACAGCATCTGAGGACCAGGATACATGTAGACTGAGGGTCATTAGCTGTTATCATTATTTTTTTTTAAATTTCAGATTTTTCATTTTGAAACTGTGTCTAACTCTGTCACACAGGTTGGATTGCAGTGGTGTGATTATAGCTCACTGCAACCTTGAACTTCTGGCTTCAAGGACTCCTCCTTCCTCAGTCTCCCAAAGTGCTGTGATTACAGCAGGAAGCCATTGTATCAGGCTGGATCATTATTACTATTATTTTGAAACAGAGTCTCAAGCTGTCACCATGGCATCACAGCTCACAGCAACCTCCAACTCTTGGGCTTAAGCAATTCTCTTGCCTCAGCCTCCCAAGTAGCTGGAACCACAGGTGCCCGCCGCAATGCCTGGCTATTTTTTAGTAGAGGAATGCCTTTAAAAATTGTGTGTGTGGTGGGGGGCAGAGGCTCATTTTGTTGTCCTTGGTAGACTGCCATGGAGTCATAGCTCACAGAACCCTCAAACTCTTAGGCTGAAGTGATTCTCTTGCCTTAGCCTCCTGAGTGGCTGGGACTACAGGTGCCCACCACAATGCCCAGCCAGATTTATTTTTTCTATTTTTAGTAGAGAAGGGGTCTCACTCTTATTCAGGCTGATCTCAAACTCCTGAGCTCAAGCAATCCACTCATCTCAGCCTCCCAGAGTGCTAGGATTACAGGCCTGAGCCTCTAGCGGTTGCTATGCCACTCTGTAACCAGAGCATAAGAGAAAAACAATAATTGGAATAGTCAGGAAAAATCTAGCCCTTGCAGTGAGTTATGGCCAGATGCTGCTTCAGGGGATATTTAAAATAACAACAGAATAGAAATGCAAACTTACGGGTCCTGAGATCATGTACTGGAAGTGGAGCTCCTTGCCAGTGAGGTGGCACAGAAGGAAGTGAAATCTGCCAAAATTTGAGAGCCCTGGAAGTCTGGGGGTGCTCCTCTTTGGGGAGGGAGCTTAGAGCACCAGTGCTCATATATATATATATATTTTGGAAACAGAGCCTCAAGCTGTCCCCCTGGGTAGAGTGCTATGGTATCACAGCTCACAGCAACCTCCAACTCCTGGGCTCAAGTGAGTTTCCTGCCTCAGCCTCTCAAGTAGCTGGGACCACAGGTGCCCGCCACAACGCCCGGCTATTTTTTTTTTTTGGTTGCAGCCATTGTTGTTGTTTTGGTGGGCCCAGGCTGGATTCAAACCCGCCACGTTAGGTGTATGTGGCTGGCGCCTTAGCTGCTTGAGCCACAGGCGCCGAGCCCAGTGCTCATTTTTAATGTTGGGAGTTTTCTCTGTTTAGCAGCTGAGCTGAAAGCCATTTCCTTTCCTCATAGAGGTTATAATTCTCTTACCTCTGCCGTGGCTTCCCTTTCATTAGAAAATCAAGGATGAAAAGTTGGGCAAGATGCTTTCCATGTTAGACCGATATTCCCTTATTTAACAATCATTAGCTAATTTGAATTATAAAAGTACAAACTGTGGCAAAATAGATCATATGTTTCCTTGGAAGAAGAGAGGAAATGGCTTAAACAAATATATATTATTTCAAATGAGATCATTATCACCTTGGAATATAAAGAGCAGGCCCTGAGGAAATGAAAGAGGTAGTAGTATGGGAAGGGGAAGTAAAAGGATGATTCTGAGAACATCAAAGAGCTTCAAAGAGTCTAGTCTAGATCAACAAAAAGAGAAAGCCAGAGCTATCAAAATCAAGCATTAAGAATACCCTAGACTAGCTGAGCACAGTGGCTCACACCTACAATCCTAGCATTCTGGGAAGCCAGGATGGGAGGATGTGAGCTCAGGAGTTTAAGACCAGTTTGAGCAAAAGCAAGACACTGCCTTTACTAAAATAGAAAAAATTACCTGAGCTTGATGGTGCACACCTGTAGTCCCAGCTACTTGGGAGACTGAAGCAGAATTGCTTGAGCCTAGTAGTGTGAGGTTGTGTTTGCTAGACTGATGCCCTCACAATCTAGACTGGACAACAAAGTGAGACTCTGTCTCAAAAAACAAACAAACAAACACAAAAGCAAACCCTTAGACTCTTCAAAAAATAGAATAGGAAAATCTTCCCAACTTATTCTATGAGGCTGTTACCCTGATACCAAAACTAAAGGCATCACAAAGAGAAAACTACAGACCAATGTCCCTTATGAATATATAGACACAAAAGTCCTCAACAAGATACTAGCAAATGACATCTGGCCATACAAAGAGTATATGCTATAATAGAGTGGGATTTATCCCAGAATGCAAGGTTGGTGTGACATCCAAAAATCAATCAATGCAACAATTATATTGAGGAATAAAGGACAAAAACTACATGATCATCTTTATAGACACACAAAAAGTATTTGACCAAATTCCAACTCTTTCATGATAAAAACATTCAGCGGACTAAGAACAGAAAGGAACTTTTTCAATCCCAAAAGGGCATCTGGGAAAACCTTACAGCCAACATCAAACTTAATGGTAAAAAGTTGAAAGTATTCCCCTAAATACTGTTTCTAAAATCAGAAACAAGACATGGATGTCTATTCTGATCATTTCTATTCAGTATTGTACTGGAAGTTCTTCCAATGGCATTTGGGCAAAATTAATTAAATAAATAAGGCTGGGCATGGTAGCTCACACCTGTAATCTTAGCACTCTGGGGAGCCGAGGTGGGAGGATTGCTTGAGCTCAGGAGTTCAAGACCAGCCTGAGCAAAAACAAGACCCCATATCTACCAAAAAATAGAAGAAATCAGCCAGGTGTGGTGATACACGCCTTTAGTCCTAGCTACTCAGAAGGCTAAGGGAGCAGGATTGCTTGAGCCAGAAGTCTGATGTTGCAGTGAGCTACGATGATACCATTGCACTTCAGCCAGGGCAACAGAGTGAAACCCTGTCTCATACATACATAAAATGAAAAACATCCCAGTTGTAAAAAAAGAAGTAAAACTGTATTTTCTTTGTCTTATTTTTTCTTTCCTTGAGACAGAGTCTCAAGTTGTCACCCTGGGTAGAATACTGTGGCGTCACAGCTCACAGCAACCTCAAACTCTTGGGCTGAAGCAATTCTCTTGCCTCAGCCTCACAAGTAGCTGGGGCTACAGGTGCCCACCACAATGCTCAGCTAATTTTTTGTTCCAGCTGTCATTGTTGTTTCTGTTAGCTGGTCTGGGCCAGGTTCAAACCCGTCATCCTCAGTGTATATGGCCGGTGCCCTACCCACAGAGCTACAGGTGCCGCCAAAACGATTTTCATATAACATGATCTTGTACATAGAAAATCCTAAGGAATCCACAAAAAATATATTAAAGATAAGAAACAAGTCTAGCAAGGTTGCAGACTTTAAGATCAATACTCAAGGCTCAGTGCCTGTGGCTCAAATGGCTAAGGCGCCAGCCACATACACCTAAGGTGGTGGGTTCGAATCCAGCCTGGACCTGCCAAACAACAATGACAGCTTCAACCAAAAAATAGCCAGGAGTTGTTGCGGGCGCCTGTGCTCCCAGCTACTTGGGAGGCTGAGGCAGGAGACTCACTTAAGCCCGGGAGTTGGAGATTGCTGTGAGCTGTGATGCCACACACTCTACCCAGGGGGGTAGCTTGAGGCTCTTGTCTCAAAAAAAAATAAAGAAAAAAAGATCAATACTCAAAAATCAGCTGTATTGGCTCAGCGCCTGTGGCTCAAGCGGCTAAGGTGCAAGCCACACACACCTAAGGTGGCGGGTTCGAATCCCCAGCCCGGGCCCGCCAAACAACAATGATGGCTGC